GCGACGACGACAGACGACAGCAAAAGACGAGATAGAACAGCGAAGGCGGTTGGCGACGACAGCGGACAGCGACGGCGACAGACAACGACGCCGACTTCTCCGACGGCCGTGGTCGCTGCCGCGGCTGCCACCACGGTCTAGAACACGAAACAACTGCACAAAACATGAACCTTCGGAGCTCCGCGCGGATTTCTCGGATCGGCGCTGGGGTCCCCCCCGGGCGGCGCCTCGGGCGCTGCCCCTAGCGCGCTCCGCGCGCCAAGGATGGGGGCCGATCGCGAGCCAGGATCCGCGCGGACATCCGAAAATCTATGTGCTTATGCAAGTTGTTGTCCTTCGACGGTCAACCCTCGACCACATTACGTACCCGGCGACATCCCGAGACCTACGGCCCACGACCCACGACGGAAGACCAGCGACCACGAGCGACAAAGTCGTGTGCATCTGATGCTGCACTTCAAGCACCGCTTCCTCCTCGTACTCTCCTCCTCCTCCTCCTAATCCTCTTCCTCCTCCTGCTCCTCCTCATGTTCCTGCATATCCCACCCCTGCTCTCCCACCTAGTCATCCTACCCGCTGCTCATCCTCATTTCTCATACGCCATGCTCAGAGGTAGGGAGAACGGTGACGGAAAAAAAGAAGGTGAATGGCGGCTCCCGATGTTTCAGAGAACCCCAAGACAGGTTTTGTGGTGTGTTCCTGGAGGTCTAAAGGAGCGCATCCTGGAGGTAATCGAAGGTGTCCACGGGGTTTTGATGGGAAGAGATTCCTCCTGCTCATCCTTCCTCTGGTTCTGCAGCTGATGCTGATGCTGCTCCTCCTCGTCCCTTTCCTTCCCCCCCTGCATCCTTCTCTAATTGTCCCTCGTGATAATTTTCCTGGTCCTCCACCTCCTCGCTCCTGCCTAGCTGTGGGGAGCGGAGCAAGACAAGAACAGCGTGAGAACGTTGGAGCGACGAGAGATCAAGAACGCAGAACGGAACGAAGTCCCTCCGAGGCTGGGATGCCCACAGGAAGACGCGGGGAAGCCGCCAGGAGAGCCTCAAGAGTCCTTCTCTCATGCTTCTCCTCGCACTCCTGCCTGATTATCCTTCTCGTCCTCCGCCTCCTCCTCCTCCTCCTCCTCCTCCTCCGTCCTCTCCATTTCCTCTCTCTCTCTCTCTCCTCCTCCATCAAATATTCCCCCATATGTTTCCGCAATCGCAGGGGGAACACATAGCCCAATAGCCTGGTCACAAAATCTGGCCCAACGCGTCGCCACATCGGCATTTCCAAAAAGGCGGGGCGCGGCGGTGATTCGCCGTAAGCGTCTTCGATAGCTTCTCCTTCCTCATCCATCGAGAGAAAAAGGAGGACGGAGGAACACGGGAGGCCTCCAGAGTCCCCCAAGTGCCTAAAAAGGATGCGGACATACGTTTCGAGGGTTCGCCCGAGAATGAAAAACCCCAACTGGCCCAACCACGGAATGGGACAAGCACGCCAACACAACTGCCCGAAGAGGCCCAAACCCGTGCTACAATCCGCCTCGAAGGAAATAGCGTCGTCGCACCTCCAGAAGGAACGCCACAGGAGGAACGAACGGGCTCGCCTGGCCACGGCGGGCTTCGTCCACGAATAGGCTGCCCGACCTCGACCTAAGGAGCGGCCCCGAAACCGAGGCCCCAGAGCTGTCAATGCCTTGACTGCGCTAGCAAATAATCGTAATCACAAGAGGCGAAATCATAACATAATACGTGAAAGAAGAAACATAATACTAAAACGAAGAGGTTTGGGGGGGAAATGTGAATATCAGATAAGCGAGGGTGTGAGATTTAGGGTGGTAATGAATTATCTTTCCCTTTCCGCCCATGGCCAGTGTGGCCCATAAGCTGGGCGGGAAGGTGGACGCACCTACTCGCGACTGCTTCGAGTTCGGAGATACATACATAATTTATGTTCTGGCTTGTGGTTGCGTCAAGTACTGACGGGAGGGATAGTGTGATCTGCATTTGCACTTGTAGCCTGGGGCTGGATCAGTTTTACGGTCGCCAGATTTATTATGTTCGCGCTCAAGACTTCCGTAGTGCTTTACCACTGCGCACTTCCTTCAGCGATCAACACGCTGAACATCATCACCTGCGGCTTGGCCGAACATCGTTGCCACTACCCGGGCAGCAGCACGGGCGACGACATCTACTACGAGCTGGACGGAGACGCCATCTTCAGAGACGGCGACGCCATCATCAGAGACGACAACACTATCACCAGAGACGGCGACGCCATCACTACAGACAAGATGGCGACCAGGCGGCAACAACCCAACGACGGACCCTCTGCGTGGACAAGGATGGCGTCGTACAGTACAACGGCGACCCAGCCTACGGCGAGGAGTTCGGGGAGCACGCGATCCTCGGCTACTGTGCGAGCGAAGAGAAGCTGCAGAAGCTCTACGCGATCAAGCTCAAGAATTCTTTGAATGGGCGAGCGCGGAATCTCACGAGGAAGAGGGCCGAGATTGCGACGCAAGCAGTGTTGGACAAAGCAGGTGGGGACCCACTTGCTGCAGTGCAGCTGGTGGTGGCAAACGCACGACAGGCGTGCGAGCGGAGAAGACCTACGAACATAGTTCCTACAAAAGTTGGCCAATATCAGCATGACCTAGCACAAGGCTATTCTCGGGCAGCACAGCAAAGAGTACATCTGGGACGACGTGACGGCGGCGATGCTCATCCAGCTGGACACGACATGCAGAGACGATCGTGGTCACGGACGTTATGGGGCATACCCGGTGGACTACGACGATGACGGGAGGAAGCCCTACTTGGATACGAGTGTGGCGTATGCGATGAGGGCGGGCTCCCAAGCGAAGAAGACCACGACGCGCTGGGGCGATACTGTAGCGGCTGAGGCACAGCGTCTAGGGTGGAAGGCTGGACGAAAAGGTCACAAGCCTAACTGCAGGCAAGCCCAGTAAAGGGTTGCACCAAGCAAGTCCCATCGAGGCTGGAAAGCCAACATCAACAAACAATGATCCATCAAGATGGACGGCAAAGAAGCCGAATATACTATCAAGAAGTTAAAAGCCGGCACGAAGTGCAACGCATGCCACCCAAAGGGTCACTGGAAAGGCGCCCCGGAGCGCGAGAAGACATGGCCATCGGGCGGCGGATCATCGAGCAGCCTACAGCGTGGAGGACGAGGTGGTGGCCGAGGCTTCCACGGGCGACCTGGAGGTTTTCTACGACGGGCTGGGTTTGCGATGGCAGCGGCGGTGAAGCTACTGACGGCGGACAGCTCAATGGACATGACTGCCATCCAGATCGTGAGTGACCAGCTGGCGAACATGGAGACCACGATGGAGGAGATCACGAGTCTGACATGAGGACTGACACCGACGACCAAATCCTGAACTCCTGGACGGTATCAGCACTTGGAGCCGATCAAGGTACGCGAGTGTAGCCTGGAGGAACAAATCGGATCCAAAGCATACCTGACGGTAGTGATGACCAAACGCCAGGATCTGGATCAGGACAGACATGTCCCAACATATCGAGCACCGACTACCGTGAAGAGGATGCCACAGCGGCGGACGTACATAATATCAAACATCGAGCAGCACATATTGCAACATTATGGGTAGGCTGTGGGAACATGGATGCAGCCGACAGGGATTACATGGAGTTGTGCGTGGACTGGGCACTACCCCAGATCCGCCAGCCCATGCGCATCACGATGGAGACGGCACCAAAGGGACTCAGGAACTTGGCGCACGACCTATGCCAAGCATCCTGGGACATAACCTCGGAACTACGAGATATCGCAACGAGCACCTGCGAGCGCCTACCTCATGGAGTGCGACCGACATGGTTGTGGACGGAACGTAGGGCGGGCACAGACTACAGGCCTTCGGAGGATCGTGCACCATTACCTGGCCTGCCGGTGAACTACGAGGAGCTGGAGGAGACCGAGGCCTACGCGATGAGGACGGAGGAAAGGACCTATTCCAGATGGACATGCTGTGCTGGACACGGCGTGCCCACGAGGATGTGGAGGTTCACGAGCGCTGGACGGCTACGCGGAAGACAGCTGGGTCACTACGAGGATGAGGGGCTCATCCACGCGCTTCCGAGGCGTGGATGATAGCGCCCCGGTCATTGCAGAAGGCGAGCAGGAGGTGACAGCTGGACTTGTAGGAACCGACGTCAATCTACGATTCCAGATGCTGCAATACGGCTAAGCATCGGCCAGCTGGAAGAGCTAGACACAGCGCTGTACGTAAACGAGCGGAAGGGACTTCAAGGCGATCAACAAGTACGGGGCGCCGCTCAACAAGACCGAGAAGGGGCGCCGAACGATTTCACTCCAGGACTGGCCGAAGGAGGAAACAGCCAAAACAGCGCCATCAGTTACGACGGATGAGATCGACATCTGGGCCGCGGAGGTGCAAGAGATAGACAAATGCATCCCACGAGGAAAGCAGAGGAAGCAGATCGAGACGCAGGAGAAGGAGTTACAGGACGAGCTGGACCAGTGCCAACAGGTCGTGGAAACGCTGAAGGCGGACCCAAAGGAGAAACGGCCTATCATATGGGAGCTCTATGCTGGTGGCATGGCAGCC